AATTGTTGCAAATCAATTGCCTGACGCATTCACGGATTCAAAGAAAGTGACAAAGTCACATATTCCTGCTATGAATGCTCATGCCACAATTGAAATTCCTTCAGAGAAAAATGAAAAAACTCTTGCAAATGAGTCTTCAATACGCAAAAAGCGTGGCAGACCACTTGGTTCAAAAGATATAAAACCAAGAAAATTTAAAAGGCAAGAGACAATATTTGAAACAAAAGATGTTCATTCTTCAAGGAAAGAAAATGAACAAATCGAGCATGTTGATATAAAAAATAATATCAACGAACAATTTGTTTCAAATGAGGATTTAACAATCTCTGAAGATGCGAATAATTCAGATGAAGATAGAAACGTTGATAATTATGAAATCTCAATAACTTATGTTTCTACGGGATTGCAATGGAACAGAAAAGATGTTCATGTTGATGATATATTCGCATATGCCATTGCCACAAACATCATGGATGAAAATGATGACATTGAGCCAACTTCAGTTGATGAATGTCGACGTAGACATGATTGGCCAAAATGGAACGAAGCAATTCAGGCAGAATTGAAATCACTTGAAAAACGAAGTGTTTTTGGGCCTATAGTTCCTACGCCAAAAGGCGTGAAACCAGTTGGTTTCAAATGGGTTTTGTGCGCAAGCGCAATGAGAAAAATAAAATTGTGAGATATAAAGCCCGACTCGTTGCCCAAGGTTTTTCTCAAATCCCGGGGATAGATTATGAAGAAACTTATTCCCCAGTAGTTGATGCAACTACGTTGAGATTTTTGATAGGCATGTCTGTTTTTGAAAAACTTCAAATGCGTTTAATGGATGTAGTGACAGCATATTTATATGGATCTCTCGATACTGACATATATATGAAAGTTCCTGGAGGCTTAAAATTGCCTGAGGTTTATAGTTCAAAACCTCGAGAGATGTTTTCCATAAAATTGGAAGTCACTGTATGGACTAAAACAATCTGGCAGAATGTGGTATAATCGTCTCAGTGAATATCTGCTCAGAGAATGATACAAAAATGATCCAATTAGTCCATGTGTTTTCATCTGTAGATCTAAATCGGGGTTTGCCATTATTGCAGTATATGTTGATGATTTAAACATCATTGGAACATCTGATGAAATAGAAAATACTGCAAAATATCTCATGAAAGAATTTGAGATGAAAGATCTTGGGAGAACAAAATTCTGTCTTGGTCTTCAAATTGACCATTTGAAAGACGAAATACTCATCCACCAGTCAAATTACACGAAGAAGGTTTTGAAGCGGTTTTATATGGATAAAGCACATCCTCTCACATCCCCGATGGTTGTCCGCTCTCTCAATGTACATACTGACCCGTTCCGACCTCGTGAAGATGATGAAGAAATACTCGGTCCTGAAATACCATATCTGAGTGCTATTGGAGCTTTGATGTATCTAGCAAACAACACTCGGCCAGATATTGCATTCTCAGTGAATTTGTTAGCCAGACACAGCTCGACCCCGACTAGGAGGCATTGGAATGGCATTAAACATATTTTGCGATATCTCAATGGTACCATCGACCTTGGTTTATTCTACCGCAAAGATGTCAAGGCCACACTTGTTGGATACACTGATGCAAGATATTTGTCTGATCTGCAAAAAGCAAAATCTCAAACAGGATATGTGTTTACTTATGGAGATACCGCAATATCATGGAGATCGATGAAGCAAACTTTGACTGCCACATCATCAAACCACGCGGAGTTGATAGCTCTCTACGAAACAGGTAGAGAATGTGTATGGTTGCGATCAATGATTCAACATATCCAGAGCGGGTGCGGTATAGAAACAATTACTAGTCATCCAACTCCTATATATGAAGACAATACTGCATGCATTGCTCAAGTGAAAGGAGGTTATATCAAAGGAGACCGAACAAAGCATATATCACCAAAGTTCTTCTCAACACATGATCTCGAGAAAGATGGAAAGGTTGACATCAAGCAAATCAAGTCCAGTGAGAACCTTGCTGATTTATTTACAAAAGCATTGCCCCCAAAGAAATTTGAAGAACTCGTACACAAGATTGGCATGCGTCGCCTCCGTCAATTATGCTAAGCTGAGGGGGAGAATTTTATGAACTGTACTCTTTTTCCCTTGATCAGGTTTTTATCCCACTGTGTTTTTCCTGACAAGGTTTTTAACGAGGCAGTACATAAAATTAGAATGGGTTACTAAAATATGATCATTTATGAAGTACCCATCATAATTGAAAAATGAACATTCAAGGGGGAGTGTTATGAAATTAATGATTGTTTATTTATTCAATTAATCAGGCCTACTTTTCTAGAATAGTAGATTAAGACATTAATTGATGAACACTAATTATGTACAGTACTTCCCACTTGTATTTGTAATCATACCAAGCCTCTCTACTATAAATAGAGGCTTAATCCCTGCATTATAATCACCATTAAGAATAAGAGAAGAGTGAAGAGTTATTAGAGAGAAGAAATCAGAAATATATTATATCTATTATCTTAATTTCTGAATAGTTTTTCTCTCATTTTATAACAATCTTTTAAAAAGTTGTAGGATTTTTTCACAACAATTATTATAGTCAATGCCAAAGCACTAATGGATATCATTGATGAGTGTGAAATTCCACGTGACCAAATCTCGGCCCATTGACATCTCTAATACGAAGAACTCAAGAGGTTAGACGAAGTTTACTCCGTACATTCCACAAAAACAGATGATTAAACAAATACTCCCTTCGTCCCCCAGTTTTTGTCCACTTTTAACTTTTGGAAATGTTTATCTAAGCATTTTGACTCATCAAATTCTCTCAATTGGTAAACCTAAATATATTCATGTGTGATCATGTTTGATTTGTCTTAACATATACTCCCTCCGTCACATGAAACATGAGACATTTGCTTTTTAAGAGGGATTTAAGGGAGTGTATTTTGGTATTGAATTTCTAAAAATATCATTTAATGTGATGGGTAAAAATATGATTTGATGGATAGATTATTAGTAAAAAGGTATGATGTGATAGTTAGGATATGAAAAAGTAAGGGGTAAAAGTGACTTTTTAATAGAAATGAGAAGTGTTTTGTGGGACGGATAAAAAAAGAAAGGAGAAAGGTTTCATGGGACGGAGGGAGTAGATTATTAATATATAATTTCTATAATTTTTTAATATATAAATTACAAGATAAAATGGATTAAAGAAGTGCATTGGATGATGTGTAAAAATGAAAGTGGATAAATACTCTGGGACGGAAGGAGTAATTGTTGTGAAAAATCCTACAATTTTTTAAAAAACAAATTAATCTTCATTTTTTCTCTCTTTTTTTCTCAAATGGGAGAGCACAATAGGAAGAAAGAAGAGGATAGAGAAAGTACGAAGTATATCCTTCATCAATCCTAGAAAAACTTTCATGTTTTCACTTTTTTGACAAACTAGTATTTAACCCGTGCAACGCACGGGGTCGAACGAATATTATTTTTAACTCTTTTAAATGTTTGTTTTAAGTACATAATTAAAAAATGAAGCTAAATATAATAGAGAATGTTAGAATTTTAA